AGCCTCCCTGCACATGTAGGGCACCCTAGTGTTTTATATATTAATATATTATATACTATTATATAATAATACTAATATTACTATTATATACTATTAGTTATATACTATATATTAGTATATTATACAATTATACTATCATTACTATTAGCTATATACTATATATTAGTATATTATATACTATTTTATATGTATGTATGTATGTATGTATGTATGTATGTATGTATGCATGTATTACAAGAAAATGCTTTCCTTTTTCATCAGTACAGATTTCTTCATTTTAGGCATCTTAGGTGTCATCAGGGAGATGTTTCCTAACTCCTTGTACTGCCATATTTGCCCTTGTAGGATTTTTACAGTTGCTAAAGGTGGAGAAACTGGGTGTGCATGGGTGTATAGGGAGAGATGAAATGGAAAACATTTTTAGAAAAACAAATGTGCCTTTAAAATGAATGTTAACTACTGTGGGAGCACAAACGTGAACATGCCTTTTAAAAAATGTCATTATTATTATTTGGTGTCAGCATAGAGGATATTTAAGACTGTTTAGGTGCCTTAACAATATTTCCTTGTCTTAGCAACTTTGGATAACATGTATGTGGAATCTTAACTCTGAATATCCTGGTTTGGTTATAGAATTTTTACAGTATTCTGGTAATATCTTCCCCTTTATATTATTGATATGGCATCTTAATTTTATGTCCATCTTAAGAAAGTTTTTAATGTTGGAATAGAATTCAAACACATGACTGAACAGCAGTTGCTCTACTATTAGTATATGGCCATTATAATACTTTGTACTGTCAGTGTAATTCCAAGATTATGTTGAATTTGGGTGAAACTGCTCTCTTCTAGCCTTAAGATATGTGCACATGAAGGGTTTCTCATCATGTCATAATTTATTTTCTGGATTCACAGGAGGAATAAAGAAGCAGGGAGTGATGGTAAAAAGCAGAATTTTGCAAGCAGTCATTCATTAGAGTGAAGAAAAAAGAAAGCAGGTCACAGTAAAATTTAAAAAGGAAAATTAAAAAATATCAACTTCCCAAAGATTTTTAAGACTGGGTAGGTTCCGGACTGTTGTGTGCACAGAATCCACTATTTAGTTAATTACAGTGAAAGCTGTGTTATCCGGCACTTTATTAACTGGCATGCTCTATTAACCAGCATGCCAAATGACGCGGCAAACGCAAAACTGGAAGTCCCACTGTGGCACTTCCAGTTTTGCTGAGTCCCACTTCTCTGACTTTAGACCACGGCCCGGGGCAAAGCAGCCTGTGTGGGGCCCTCCTCCCTGTCCCTTGGCACACTGATGCCAGGGACTGAAAGCCCTGGCACACTGGACACGGCATGAGGGGCGGCAGCCTGAACAGGCAAAGAAGCTTCTCAGGTAACTGGCATATTAGATTAACTGGCACTCTCCATTTCCCATGGATGCTGGATAACACAGCTTTAACTGTATTTAAATGTCCTCTGCCATCCTCCCTATGGGAATTTAGCCAGGTAGAAAGTAAGAGTGTTAATGAAATATAAGAAGGAAATAGATTTTTCTAAAACTTTTTGCAATGGCTATATTTCTGTCAGGAGCTTATCTCTAGAGAATAATCACCATTTTGCTTCTAGGAAGTTCTCTCATATTACTGCCCACTGAATCAAGCAATGTGACTGGCTGGTGTTCCCGCCCAGGATCACTAGAGGGAAGCAGTGACTGCATATCTGCTATGTAACAGACCAAACAATTTCTCCCTTGTGGCTTCCAAAGTTATTTTAAAAAAATTAAAATGTATTTTACCATTAATTCATGAGTTCTACTAATAAAAAATTAAATTAGAAAAATTGTTTTTATTTTAATGTTGGATTGTTAATTGATCTTTGCTGTTGCACATAGTTTCCTTTACTTTCAATTTCTGTAATTATTTAAAATAAAATAATAAATGACAAATTAACAAATAATTAACAAACACGCTAGACCCTACACCTTCAGTGTTTTGATGATTGCATCAGATCCAAGAACTATTCCCAGGATTAAACACCTAAGGGAAGTGAAGAAAAAAACATGAAGCCAATACATGTGAAATAAACCAGAAAATTTACACTAGTGGACTACTTTACATCAGGAACATTTAATGCTACTTCTAAGAGGTTTGATACTTTTAAAAGCAGGTCTTATTCAGGCAGAACTAGAAATTTAGATTGTGAACCAAACCTCTCCAGCATCTGTGGGTGTTTGAAATTTGAGTTTTGGGCCTGGCTTATTTAGATCATTTATGCCTGGAGATTTCACTTTAAAGTTATAGAACTGATATTCTTTTCTCAGTAGCCAGAAAGTGTTGGAGTAGGAAGCTCCTTAATTTTTATGCTCTCAAACACATGACCAGCCTGCCACTGGAAAGTATGATCCTTCTTGCCTTGCTTCAGTGCCCTGGGTATCAATAATAATAAAATTGCAATAGAGAATAGCCAAAGTTACTGATAGACCTGGTTGGTCCAAGAGGCCAATAGGGTGACTAAGAGAGAATAAAACTCTTTCTTAATACGATACTGGATCTGCGGGGAATATAACTGATTCTCTCTGCAACAGGAATTTCCTACATTAGCTCAGTAGGCATCTGCAACATTGTGAACTGGGATGTATGCCTCACATATGACACGTGGAATATAAAACCATTTAGGTTTGATAGCAATGCTTGATGCAAGCAGCATGTTGCTATGAGATATAAGCAAAGAATTGTAGGCATACTGTGGCAGGATGATATGCATCAGGGGAAACACATTTCATAAATCATATGAGAACCAAACTGGAGATGAACCTGTTCCCTCCTGTAAGCTTTTCAGCTCTGTTCAGACCAGACATTATGGAACAGACAGAGCAACAAATGCCATTCTGAAAGACATGAATGAACCTATAATGAAACCAAACAGGAAGCCAAATAATAAATACATTCAATAAAAGAAAGTATTCAAATGAGATCATTAGTCTTGCCCATTATATGCCCATTATATTTAATGTAAACCAATTGCATTTAGCTAGCTAGTTATTTATGTACCTATATGGACATATGCATTATATATATATATATATATAAATTATATATAGGGAGGGGGAGAGAGGGAGAGAATATATGGATATTATAATATATATATGGATAAATGCAATGCAATATCCATATATCTCTCTCTCTATATACACACATACATATATATTTACACATACATACATATATGTGTGTGTACATATATATAACTGTACGTGTGTGTATGTATATATGTGTGTATGTATATATGTGTGTACACACACACAAACACTATACAAAGGAACTTTTATCTAACAGTTCCACAAGTATTTTTGACATAATTGCTTTAGCTGTATTTTTGTTCTAATGAGTTTTTGGGTAATTTCATGCTTTGGTGCTAGCAAGAAGTTATTTAAAGGTCATGAAAATGTCATAGGAACCATCCAACAGAAATGTCAAGTGCAAAAATAATGGAAAGTTACTGTAATGTTGGGTGCCTCAGACAAGTTAAAGACCGCTGACAAGTTAAAAAAGCACTTCTAGTGATACTCACACCTTGTTCGTGGTTCGAAGTAATAATCTTGACATTTGTAGGTAAGCTTTCCAAGGACCTCTAAGCATTTTGCCAGGTGTTAAAGCTAAACCGTGCTCCTGAGTTGTTGATTGTAGGTGGTGTTTATGTCCTTTTGGTCACTATATGTAGAGATCACCAACTTCTTAAGTGGATCTGGAACTAAATTTCGCAAATGTGGCCCATATCAATTGATTAATGAAACAAGGTATGGTATATTTGCTCTGCATTTTTAAGACGTACCTGGGTGCAAGCAGCTACTATTGATTTGTAAGTCCTCTCCAAAAATCAGGCCATTAGCTAAACTATTCAAGCTCAGGTGCCTAAATATGAATATGCTTTCCTTCAAAACAAGGGAAATGGATGTAAAAGCCTCAGTTATGACTTAAATCTTTCTCCTCCCCTGAGGGAACTCCTGGAAGGTTTGTGACTCTCACATGCTTTATAAGGTATTTATTTCTCCTCTTAAGGGTAATGGGAAACAGTGACCGGTACATGGACCTCCATGCTTACAGACCAACACTTGCATAATTTGGTCCTAAAAAAACAGTGGAGATATTTATGACCTGATTTTCAGAGATGGCCAAGGTCATCCCCACAAACTCTCAGCTGCCATTGACTTCATGTGAATATTTCAGCACTTCTGAAAGTTAGCCTTTTAATGTTTCCAGCACATTTTAATAATTTAGAGAAAACAAAAATTGCAGTTTACAAACCCATTGCCTTTTGCCAGTTTTTATAGTTCCAGCCTGTGCCAGATAGGTATATATGCTTGATGAGCTAATTGTGAGTGGTGGCATACGCATTAGCAGTTTTACTTACTGCGTTGTTTGTGGTTAATCTGTTTTACTCAGTAGAATAGGGTGGTTGTATTACAAGTGACCTGGGTATTTTCAGAGCATATTAACTGTTCAGTTACTCCATGTCACAATTGCTCTTTTATAATTCTCTTAAAGTTCAGAATTCCTCCAGACTTTGTTGCAATAAATATTCTTCTGGGGAATGAAAATGGAGCCTGTATCCTTTACTACGACAAAAAAAAAAAGATATTTGATACAAATTGTTGTTTCCTTGCTCCATAACTGCTGCTTGCAGCCCTTGATCCCCATGGCATAACAAGTCTCGACTCTCACTTTGTGCTCTCTACTTTTTCCTAAATCTCCCATTGGTGTAGTCAGGAGTTTTCAGCATATAGAATTTAGAATTTAGCAGAACACCAGAGATGAGATCAACCATATGGATTTGGGAGCTGAAAAGTTTTTAGCTTGTTTGCTGTTTTACTGTAAGTGTAGGTTTTTGTATCTTTAAATTTTATTATGTGATCATAAAAGGAGATGGTTTCAAAAAATAACTACTTGTTAAACCGTTTATTGTTCATTTGTGGGCTGTGTTTTGCAGGTCCTGTGTGACAGACATGTGTGAGTGCCCAGTTCACAAAAACTGCTACTGTGAATCTTTGCTTGCCTATGCCCGGACCTGTCAGAGGGAAGGTATCAAAGTCCAATGGAAACCCGAGCAGAACTGTGCAGGTAAGCACCCTCTGATGGCTTCATTGCAATTTAGTGCATAGTCTGGAAGAAAGAAGCTTGTAGCTCACAGTTATTTTGCTGGGGAAAAAAGAATAGAAATCAATAAATGGCTAACAGAATGGATTTTGCTGAACAGTGAGGCTGTATTCTTAGTAAGGAAGAAAGCACTTACCAGGAAACATTTTTCAACAAGTGAATCCTAGACGTGTTCCACTAAAAACACTATTACAAAACTCTCTACCAGTCACCTCTGTTTTAGCCACAATGAGGAAAATGCTTACTGCTCTGGTTCAGAGATTGCAGACAATTACAGATAATGTTTCAACTCTTTTGTTCTCCTGTGAAAGTACAGCTATTTCTCTGTCTACCAATTATTATTATAGCTAGATTGCAAACAAGAGCACCTGTGGTAAGAATATACTGTGCTAATCTGCATTAATTTTGGTCACTGAGGCAAAGTTCCTATGTATTTAGTTTTACATTAATTGCAAATATTTCTAAGTAATTATTTCCACAGAAAGTAGTGTCATGTGGTCATGGGCATTTAAGGATACTTTATTACAGATGACTGTTTCCCTTAATGATGGACCTGTTGCTTCTGGTCATTACATAATGGCATTAGATTATCCTGAAATTTATTCAGATATATGTAAAACGATGATAGCTTGAAAAGATGAGGGAAGGGCACTCTGTGTTAGTTGAACAGTTGTTATTCTGTGGTTCCTCCTGGTAACTGAATGACTGACTCATTGTCTCTCTTTTTGTCTTTAATTTCCTTTTAATAAAAGCAAACAGACATAAGAGGGCTGATTAATGGGGCAGAATATATTTAACTAATTGCTCCTGAAAACTTTGAGTGCCTATTAGGGGCATGCAAAGTGGGCCCTTTTCAATTTGGGTTTGGATTCGGCCTGAATCAGGGACAGTTATTCGATTCGTTGATTTGGATTGCTGTCCCTGATTCAATTCAACTGAATCCGAATCTGAAGATTTCATGCTGATTCAGAGAATCAGCTTTTCGGACATAGACACAGCTTTAAAAGTTTTTTCTACATATGTTGAGGTACCAGCGTGGCTTGTGATGCTGGGGTAGATGGAGCATTCCACACAAGTGTGTTGGGGCCCTCCGTGTGCTCAGTGGAAAACCCAGAAGTGGACCAGAAGTAGTTCTGGTCCACTTCTGGGTCTGCTGGGGAGTGCACAGGGCCTCCCCTCCCCCTCAGACCCAGGAAGCACCAGTCACCGAGCCGGGGGGGGGGGGGGCGCCCCTCTGCGCACTCCCTGGTGGACCCAGAAGTGGACTGGAAGAGATTCTGATACACTTCCAGTTATGCTGCCGAGCATGCTGGGGAGCCACCGCACTTCTGTGGGACACTCTATGTGCCCCAGCATCACATTACTCATGAGCCCCTGCTACCTACAGGTATGTAGAAAAAACATTTAAAGCTGTCTCTACGTCTGAATCTCTGAATCTTTCTGAATCTCTCCGAATCGATTTGGAGGGTTCCGATTTGATTCGGAGAGATTTAAGGATCCTCTGATACAAATGGGAAACTAATACAGGCTTTCAACAACCACTTCCTGTCCTTGCAGTGGCAGGACATTAACAGTGCCCTTGTCCTCTTGCTTTGCCTGCAGTAAGCTAAGGCATTCTTGCTGTTTTGGAACAATATGCCTGGCAGTTGTGTAGTGGGGTTGTTCGTGAAGTTTTAAGAATATTGTGATGGCTGTAGGTGTTGTAGGGCTTGCTACCACTGCCCTGAGTTCATTTTCATACAGGCGGTGACAGGGTGGACCTCAGCTTTGGATCACCTGGTCTGCCAGGAAGTTGATCTTGTGTTTCTTTCCTGCCACGACTTCCATGAAATTATATTCCTAGGAGGCAGTGCCTGAGGTGATCCTACCTTGTCTCAATCTCTGTTTTCTTCTGTGGGGCTCCAAACCTCTGCTCTACCCCAGCCTAGCCTCTCCAGATGGTACTCGAAGTTCTCTGCAGCCAAGTCATAGTACTGCCTGTTGGGCTGGCCTTGGCCTGTCCTCAAATATCCAAAAAAAGGAAATCACCCCCCCTCCAAAACACCCCCAGCTGCTCTCAGTCTTTTTGCCAGGCTCAGTCCATGTCCCCTTCACCTGGGGTCAGGCTCTCATATCCCAATCACAACAGAAAACAAATCAATTAGTCCAGTCACTGTTCTGCATAGGCCTGCCCAGCTTACTCGTGAACATTCACAGTCCCAATAGGATCCATCCCATATGTAGCAAGGCTGTAACCTTGAACAACATTTCCTTTGTCCTCTTCTCTGGATCTTCAGCTGACACTTCGCTCCAGTGATTATCAAAAGCCATGTGTGTGCAGGCCTCCGCCTGCCTCCTTCTCAGGGTCACACCCGCAGCATTTCTCTGGCAAGTTTCACAACCCTTGCCTGCAGGGACGCGCTCAGCCTCTCCTTTCTCTGCAGCTTGCAGGGAACTTACCCCCCTCTACCCATCTCCGGGGCCAGAAATACCTCTGAGCAGCCTCCCTCCAATCCTGAGCAAGACGCTGCTCCAGAAGTGTGGTGAATGTTTCTCTTCCCTTCCGGTCTGCAGCTGCAACCCTTCCAGCCCTCCATGCTGTTAATGTTGTTTGTTTTCACTTTCCCTGCCTGTTGCTGCCGGCTGCTTTTCTTCTCCTGACCTCCCCTGCCCAGCATGTAAAGTATCTTGGGGCTTTTGTTTGCTCTGTCTCACTCCTTCACAAATAAGTTAGACAAGGATTTGTATAGGCTAGTTTGGATAGGGATGATCCTGCCTTCAGCATGGGGGTGGACTAGATGACCTCTTGCAGTCTCTTCCAACCCTGCTTTTAGAGTCACAGAGTCAATGGACCAGAAGGGACCTGTAAGATCATCGGGTCCAGTCCCCTGTCCTAGCCCAGCGGTTAAAGAGCTCAGACTAGCTCAACAAGGTCCTATTCCAGCTTCCTCTTGACCACCTCCAAGGATGGCAACCGCACCACCTCTGCCGAGAGTGTGTTCCAAGTTCTAGTTACCCTTATGGAGAAGTTCTTCCTTATGTCTAGTCTAAATCTTCCCTCTATTAGTTTGTGACCATTGGTCTTTTTCCTCCCAAGGGGTGCCTTCCTGAAGAGTTGCTCCCCCAGATCCTGGTGTTCCCCCCAACATATTTGTAAGCGGCTATCAAGTCAATTCACAGCCTCCTCTTACCCAGACTGAACAAGCCCAGCTCCTGGAGTCTCTCCTCATAGGGTCTATACTCTCAGCCCCTAATCATGCGCGTGGCCCTTCTCTGTACCCTCTCGAATTTATCCACATCCTTCTTGAAGTGCGGCTCCCAAAACTGGGCACAGTACTCCAGTTGAGGTCACCAGTGCTGAGTAGAGAGGGAGAAGCACCTCCTTGGACCTGTTGGCAACACATCAGCTGATGCACACCAGAGTTCTATTTGCCCTGCTGATGACTTCCTCACACTGTTGGCTCATATTCATCTTCTGGTCTATTGTAACCCCAGGTCCCGGTCAGAAGCTGTGCCAGCCTGTGGGCTACTGCCTATCCTATAGTTGTGTGAAGGTTCTTCCTACCCAAATGAAGTACCCAGCACGTTTCCCTGTTGAACCTTATCAGATTCTGATCAGTCCATAGAACCAGTCTGTCAAGGTCATCCTGAATTTTTACCCTGTCTTTTGGTATGGCCGCATTTCCCCACAGCTTGGTATCATCTGCAAACTTAATCATAGATCATTCCACCCCCATATCCAAGTTGTTAATAAATATGTTAAAAAGCATGGGTCAAAGAATCGATCCATGTGGGACACCACTGGAGACAGTCCTCCAGAATGAGGCCACCCCATTGATTAAAACTCTCTGGGACCAGCCTCTAAGCTGGTTATCCACAAACCTCACTGTAGGCTGGTCCAGGACAGCACCCTCCAGTTTGACTGAGAAAATTTCATGGGAGACAGAATCAAAGGCCTTACTGAAATCTAAGTAAACGCTGTCTACCTAATGACCCTTGTCCAGCTGGTTAATTACCTGGCCGTAAAAGGACACCAGGTTTGTCAGGTATGATCTACAAAGCCATGCTGGTTGTTTCTTAATACCCTGCCAGTTACAAGCGTGTGGTTGATGGCCTCTTTAACAATTTTTTCAAAAGTTTTTCCAAGGACCGAAGTCAAACTGACCCATCTGTAGTTTGCAGTTTCATCCCTCCTCCCTTTCTTAAAGATGGGCACCACGTTGGCCCTCTTCCAGTTGTCTGGGACCACTCCCAAGTTCCATGACTTTTCAAATATCTTTGCCAAGGGCCCTGCTATGAGTTCAGCCAGTTCTTTCAGGGCTCTTGGATGTAGGTCATCTGGCCCAGAGGACTTGAAAACTTCCAATTGTTCTAAGAGGACCCTTACCTGTTCAGGACTGATTTCATGTTGTCTATAGACTTCCCCATGTTCTCTGGGCCTCTGGACGGGTGCTTAGCTTCTATTAGCCTTCTGGAATACAGATGTGAAGTATTCATTTAGGAGGTCAGCCTTTTCCTGGGGGTCAACTGTGGGCTGTCCCTTCATATTCAGTAGGGGTCCTGCAATGGAGCTTGATTTTTTTTCCTTCTTGCTCCCCGTGTACCTGTAGAAGGACTTTTTGTTGTCTTTTATATTGGATGACAGCTTGATCTCCATGCATTCCTTGGCTTTCTGCATCTCATACCTGCAGACCCTGGTTACATAAGTGAACACTTCTCTGGTTGCTGAACCTTTTTCCATTGATTATATGTGTCTTTTTTCTTTTTCAAAAGTTCTCTGATGTCTCTGTTGAGCCAAGGGAGTCTCTTGGCTACTTTCCCACTCTTTGATCGTGTGGGAATGACCTCTTTTTGGGCAGTGAGAATTGCTGTCTTGAAGAGGCACCATTGCTCCTGAACTCCCAAATCATCCAGTTGCTGGTTCCTGAGGGCCTTTCTAACTGGCCTCCTGAGTTTGTTGAAGTCTGCCCTTCTGAAATTTAGGA